AGGGCAGTGTAGAGGGGAAGGAGAACCTCCCTCGTCCTGCTGGTCACACTCTTCTTGATGCACCCCAGGATCCCATTGGCTTTCTTGGCAGCCAGGGCACACTGCTGGCTCATGGTTAACCTGTCGTCCACCAGGACACCCAGGTCCCTCTCCGCATGTTCTGACCCATGTTCTGACCAGGCAGGAGAAGGCTTGTGTCTCCAGAGCACAGTATCTAATGCTGGATTCTTTCTGCCAAGTACATTCAGTTTCACAGAAGTAACGCTGATTCACGACAAGGCTTCGAGGACTCTCTAACTACATCTACTAACTACATCTACTACATCTGTTACATTTTTCTGTGATACCATACAGTAAATAGATGAAAATAGGGAAGCTGAGCAAATAGCTAAGGCAGAAAAGACAACAGGTAAATATCACGAGACACTGGTACCAGAGAAGAAATTAAAATTGGCATCCCCAGCTATGTCCTGTCCCTTTCCCAGCCAGTCCCTGGGATTGTGTCCCCCAGCCGCTGAGGGATATGGCCAGGCAAACACATCAGCATGGGGCTGGGGCAGCCCTGGGAGGAGGCAGAGAAGATGTCTGCTCCACTGTGCTCCCAGCAGCTGCTCGCTCTGCACCACTCCTGCCCTCCCTTCCCCAGTCCCAGCACCAGCCCTGTGCCCAGCCAAGACACTGCCACAACGCGGGCACCCACCAGCTCAGGAAGGGTTAGAGCTGCTGTTTAAACTGGTCTCCTGTGTTGGTCTCCTGAAATCACACCTGATGTTCACCTTCAGCACCACAGAAAGCAGCAGGAAGGAACAAGGAGCATAGTCACTGGGGAAGCAAAATGATCAAAACGACTGAGTAGGAGATAACAGACAGAAGCACTCGACACAGTGCAGAACGGAGCTGAAAGTGACCCACTGACCCTCAGGCTTAATGGCCATGGGAAATTTCCTCCAAGACAAAGGCAGAAATAGAAGCTGGGTACCCTCGTTCTTTTACTCAGGCAGTGGTTTCTGCTGAGAGAGTGGCTGTGCCTCATGGGCACTGCACGGGGAAAGGGTGGAGCATTTTGCTTGCATATGGCAGTCCTCTTGAAGACCAATTGCTTATACATCAGAGAAGCTAACAAAAAAAATTGACAATGCGCTCAAATAGAGAAGGAAGTTTTGCTTTGAGGTTTCCCTTTACATGCAAAAGGCAAAAAAAATCTAAACTTGACCATAAATTAACTTATTTCCACAACCAAAGGAACCCAGCCAACTCACTGCACGGCCTAAAATTTGATGTTAATTTTTCACTCTCATCTACCTAAGTTATAAGCTGAAGAGGATGCTCTGACAAAAGTATTTGGGTACAAAACTAGAAGCTGATTATGTGCATATCAATGTGATCTTTAATACCTGTGCAATCAATCTCAGGACTATGCGATTGTCAGAGCTGTTGCTCAGAAGAAGCTTGCACAGAAACCAGTCAGTTATTATCAAACAATAGTTTAGACTGCACCTTCCTAATTTTAATTATCAATGTAAATGGGATCTCTCAGGATTAGAGGGGATTTGTTAAAAGGCAGGGGTACGCTAATATCTATAGAGTTACAGAAAAATGTCTTTAGAAGTAAGTAGGATTTAGAAGCAAATAGAAGTGCATTTAGATATTGAAAAAAATACAAACAGGATATATGAGATTTGTTTTTAGATGGTCAGCAGACACTTATCTTAGTTGCCTGGAAAACGTCTAGGAACATTTGCTGATGTTTTATTCTGTGTCTCCCAAATAGGTTTTTCTTGAAAACAGATCAGATAAACATAGGATGATACACACCAAACCTCTTTTCACCAGACTCGGCACCTCATATAGGAATATCCAAGGATGAATCATCTACTACTATGAGTTTAAGCAGGCCTCAGTGTACAGGATTTTTGCTCGCAGGTGCTCATCCCGATCATGTCTGTGCATAGTGCAGAGAGGAACTAGCTTCAGTATGGTAAGACTGCTAATTGAAATGTCATAAAATCAGACTTTGGCAAATATTCATAAGTGATAAATGAAAGAAGGGCACCTATGATACCTGGTGATACTGTGTTCAGCAGAACACTGGGAAAAAAGAACGCTAGTGCTACAAATTCCTGATAGTTACAGGGGATGTGCAGGTAGTGAGGAGAAAAATGAAAGCAAATTAAAAGCTTGGTGTGGTTTTGCAGTGTATGGGGCTGACACCATGTCATATACATGACAGTGTCTCTGGTGAGCCACATCAGTGACAAAGAGCTTTGTGATTTCTAAAAATATCTCCACATTATAGAATAGCCTTCTTCAGAGAAATGACCAACAATTACCGTCTGTCCCAGAAGGGAGGGCAACAGCAAATTTGAACCAGCTGTCGGTCCAAGGTCTTCTACAGGTAAAACTCACATCAGGCTGGGCCAGCTGAGCTCAAAGACATGACCCAGCCAGAATGCAGAAGCTTGCTGCAGGCTGACTGTACTGGGCTTAAGTCTTCAAGAAGCCTTCCAGGCTGTGTCGTAGTGACACTTTACTAAATGTACCTAGTTAGTTAACAGAACATTTGATATTCCAAACTATTTAATATGGAGGAAAGTTATTTCTATTATTTGGGTATATACTTGGAAGTGAGGAACTGTGCCTTTATAAGGCTCTAATAAGATTTATTCCGTTTTCAGGATTCAATTCAGCTGCCTAAAACTACGCATTTAATGACATTTGAGATACCCTACATTTCCCAGACACAGGCACAGGACTAGCAAATCTCACATAGCATCTACAGAAGACCCATGGCCTCCTGCATCAGGAGAAGACACCTTAAGACACTTTAAATGGCATAATACCCTTAGCTCTAGGCCACTAAATCACACTCAGTGCTACCTGGATGCTCATCCAGTGCAAAACTAATCAGGTAGGATCAGATGTTGAAAAGATCAAACACCAGATTCCTAGGCCCTGAGGGGCTCCTGTACAACACAGATAACTCTCTAACGGGGAATGGTCTGGGATTCATCTCTGACCTGATGCCACCTGGGCTATCTAGAATATTATATGTCTTCATGTGGGCAACAGAATCAAGCCTAAATTTATGTGAGCTCAGTCCCACTGTGTAACTGGACACGTAGTGG